GGAGGGGCTGCAGCTCAGCGGCAGGGGGCCTGTCCAGCCTGCCTGGGGCCCTGGGCTCCATGGGCCGCACCACGGAACATCCTGATTCTTATGTAATGATGGCACAGCTTCCGTACGACTCCCAGGGATTCCTGCCTGGTGTCCCCACACGGTGTCGTCCCTCCCCTTGGGTGTGGGTCGGACCTGGTCACTTGCTCTGATCAAAAGGACATGACAGAAGCATTGGGATGTCACCTCCAGGTTAGGTGGGTGGCATCTCTCTTGGTTCCATGGCTCTGCGGGCGGCAGCTGCCACGTGGAGGGGCCCGTGTGGCAAGGGCTGAGGGTGGCCTCTGACCAACCCTCATGAGGAACACAGGCCCTTCGTCCACAGTCCTCAAGAGGGGAGCAGGGCCACCCCCTGAGTGCCCTGGGAGGGGGTCCCTGGATGAGAACACAGCCCCTGGCAGACCCTGAGCCTGGGGACCCCTCGGGTCCCACCAGGGTCCCGACCACAGAACCCGTGAGTCCCCGACTGGTGCTCTCCAGGCACATGGGTCAAGCTGCCCACTGCGGCCCTTTGTTCCCAGCAGGAGACGGCAGATACGTGGCTGGTACCAGGAGTTGGGTGTTGTGCCCCAAACGCCTGAAATGTGGGGGTGCTGGGGACCGAGCGCAGGCAGAGCCTTGTAGGGTACTGAGAGATGAGGGCAGAGGCCCCTCTCCTTAGTCCTCAACGGGCAGAAGCCTGGCCTGGGAGGGCGCAGAGGGGACGAGGACATGTTACTGGAGCTCAGGGGAAGAGCCCTTCCAAGTGGCAGAAGCTTAGCTACGTGGAGAGCGGAGCATGATCAACGGGCTGCGGGGCTCGGTGTTGCCGGAGCCCCGGGTCCCCTCCCGCTGTGGTGACATGTGGGGGAAGAGCTGTCGAGCACAGGCGCCAGAGCATCACTGTGCTGAAGATCTCATCCTCCCCAGATGCCAAAAGACGCAAAATTAAGGAATGGCTTCAGGAGCCCGAGCCCCGTGGCTCAGGCCCGTCATCCCAGCAACTCGGGAGGCTGAGGCAGGAGGATCTCGAGTTCAAGGCCAACCTCAGCAAGACGCTGTCTCAAAATAGAAAACTAAAAAGGGCTGGAGATGTGGTCAAGTGCCCCGTGCTCCATCTCCAGTCCTGAAAGAAAAACAATCTATTCAAAGAAACAAAGAAGGAAATAACTTCAGAGCCACGTGAGGAAAAGTGAGGCCCAGGGTGTGACCGAAGGCCTGTTGATCCTGGAGTGATCCTAAGTCACACAGAGGTTCTGGGAGGAACCTCCCAGCCCCCAGGAAGCCAAGGGTCAGCAGGAGCCCAGGAGGAGAAGGCGGCCTCAGCACGGTGCTGCGCTCCTGGGAGTTTCACAGCTTTTGAGAAAACTGTGAAAATCACCACCAGCTTAGGGAGGGGCGGGGCAGAGAGGAATGAAAAGGAGCCAAACCAAAGAGTTAAAATAAACCCAGAAAAGATGCCCAGCCTGGGAGTGAGTGGACAGGGCAGAGCTGAGCACCACGAGGTTCCAGCCCAGACGGATGTGGAGCCGGGGAGTGCCCACGTCCCCAGCTACATCCAGAGTACATGCTCTGATGAAGTCCTTGTCCCCGTTGAGAGCTGCCCTGGGAGAGGCCCATGCAGCAAGGAACGGAGCAGAGCGGGCCTCTGGCTGACAGTCCAGCCACCAGGGTGGCCTTGGGGAGGGCCCTTCTCTGGTTGATCCTCGAGCCGAAGCCCACAGCACCCGACTGCAGCCATGACCCGCCGAGGCCCACACGACTGTGAGGTCATCGACGCTGTCATGGGAAGCCGCATGTGGGGGGGGCGACTTGTTACGCAGTAAAAGATGCTGATACAACTCAAATGTGCAGCACCCCACACCCGGGAGATGTCGTCCTCTTGGGGACTCACCGAGGTGCGCACAGGAAACGTGAACTTACCTGCCCAGGCTCAGAGAGAGATGGGGAAGGGGCTGTA